TTGGATCACTGCCTTGTGTTTTATGTTTGGTTAGGGTGTGTTGTTCTTTATCTACAGTCCACAGGTTTGTCTGGCGCCAAGACATTTATATACACGTGTGTGTGTGTGTGTGTGTGTGTGTGTGTGTGTGTGTGTGTGTGTGTGTGTGTGTGTGTGTGTGTGTGTGTGTGTGTGTGTGTGGTGTGTGTGTGTGTGTGTGTGTGTGTGTGTGTGTGTGTGTGTGTGTGTGTGTGTGTGTGTGTGTGTGTGTGTGTGTGTGTGTGTGTGTAGATTATCTTCACATTATGTTAAGTGTCTGGGTATTGTACAACTCAACAGTTTAACAGTATGTACACACGTTTATGTTTCATTGGCTATTTATCTCAGCCGTATACAAATGTAAAAATGTGAGCTTGTAACTCAAAACATGCACCTTGTTAGTTGAAGAAATGTAATGGAAATGTGTGTGTGGTTTTTAGACTAATTAAACCTCACTATTGAAAATATTCCTGCAAAATGTTTTATGACACATGCACAAAAGACTTTTTGCAGCTGCAAAACCTTTTACCCATACTCAAATGATATCTGTGTTCACAACACTTTTTCACAATGGCGCAAAAAATATTTGTCAACTTTTCTAGAGGTATGCAGATTGGCTATTTATCTCAGGGTAAAAACTGGTTATTTAAAACTTTGAACATGAAACTTAAAGGAAATGTATGTTTAGTTTAGTTTAGTTTAGTTTATTAATTTTTTTCGAGTGTAAAACCAAAGAAAATACAAATGAAACAATGTTCATCTTTTAGACTTAAACCTCACTGTTGAAAACATTCCTGCAAAAATGTAATGACACATTTTTCCAATCACACCAAATATGTTTACAGTTACAAATGCCAAACTGTATCACACATTCACAAACTTGAAATTGTGAGTTTAAAAAAAACGAATTTACAATTTGAGATTCGTGCATGAGTTTTTTGTCATAGAATTGCAAACTGTAAAATTATTTGTGGAAAACATTTCACAATGACAAACATATTGATGACCCTTTTGATGCTTCCTTATGAAAAACGGTACATTGTATCTAAGGAAAACTCTCAAATGATATAAAGTCATGGACAAAAACATATTATTTTTTGTCCAGATGGTATTCCTCATGTTGAAGAACCCTATTAACTAGGTCTCTCTAAAACCAGTGTTTAGAAAGCAGAATGCTATCCCACTTGATACAATCACATCAAATCATTAAAAGAGCACTCTAAATACAGGCAGCTCTTATTGACTGATCTTTCCACTTTAATATCCACCACTCCTTGTAGAGGAGCTAATGTACCTGACAAACACTTCTCTGTTTAACTCAGATTTTTGAAATGCAGAGGCTGCTTATGATTCCAGCTCAAAGTGGACATGCCTTTCCCAGCATGCCTCAACCTGTTGCTGCTCTGTTGTTTCCTGTAAATCAACAAGCTGAAAGACCCTCAGATATCTCTCTCAACATCTCTTACCCCCCCCATCACTCTCTTTCTGCTCATTATGAAGCCTCATGTTTTTCCATGGAGACATAGAAGTCTTTTATTGTCACATGGTTCATACACTGTCCAATCACATATGACCACGCCCTCTCTACAACACTAGACAGGCCATATAAAGCGAGTTTTTTAAATTCATAATAGAAGGAGTTAATGGAAACCACAGATAAATCATTGAAAGATAAAAACCAATTGCAATATTGCACAAAAGAAAAAATATTGGCAAGCTAAATTCATTCATTATTACCGTTCTTCTATGATTACATACTGTATATTACCGATTGTGTGGACAACACAATCACAAATCAAAATGTTCTGCTACAAAACAGAGCTATAAAATAAGAATTTGTGTCTTTACATGTAGAAAATCAGAACAAATGCAAATGATCTGGAGCAGTCAAATTAACAAATGAGTGAAATCGTTTTGAAAAGGAAATTAATATAAATAAATATACAACGGAGGTTTGAGCACTAATGTGTTCATGACTTTTTGTTACGGGCTTTGGAGCATATGTAATATATTGTACATATATTTTGCTTCTTTCTTGTGTTTTCATAGACGAAATCTTAAGATTTAAGAACATTTATACTTTTAAAAGGGTTGGTGCGTAGGCTTCAGCCTACATCTTTTTAATCAGTACAAACCTGTACCACTATTTTAAAGTAATGACTTGTTTATTTATTATTTGTTATATGAGATTTATAAAATAATCTAGGCATCTCCTGGTTTACCTTCAAAAAGATATCATACAGTGATTTGAAGATTAGAAAGCCCTAACACAGTCTTTTTGCCAGTGTGAATCACTTGGCATAATGTGACTATCACAGAAGTTCTAGTATCGTTGGGCCATTACGAACATTTTCTTCAACCCTGCCTCACTTCCTGGGGGCTAGGTTCGCCCACATCGTTTTTCTGCCCATCTTTCAGTTTTGCTTTATCATATTTAACCCATTGTCTCCTTCTGCCCCCCTGACTCTTGCTGGGTCTCTCTCACATATGCCTGATGAGGCCTGTTATTGAGAGTCAGTGATGCAGAGAGAGAGTTTACACAGACAGGGAGACAGTTGGAGGGAACAGGACCAGAACGTTTGACAGAGTTATAGTTCACTTGTTGCTTCTTAGTCCATTAAAGCAATTACTTTCTGGGATGTCAGGCTGTGTCAAGTTAAATTACGCAGAGATCTTAATAATTTGCCATGCTTCTGTTCATGCTGTGGGGTTGTGTAAGGCAGTGGAAGATTAACGTTAATACTGCAGAGGTAGCAGGTAGAGATGTCGTGGCGCAAACACTACAATATAGTTATTTGTCTTGCCTCTTGTTTCGGCTGTGTTGCATACAATTAGGTGATCATCACAAAGAGCATACATTTAGGAAACAGTTTTAATATTTTAGGAGGGAAATATTGATTTCACACTGTCCCTATGTAAGAGACATACATGTAAGTTGAATAGTACAGAACTTATAGATTTTTTTTCCAATTGTTTGGCCCATACACATTTTGAGCGTTACAAAAGAAGTTCTCTATGGTGGATGATGTGTGGCTTTAATTGAATAAATAAGTATAATACCACACAAAATGTATCAGAAAAGCCCTTGGTACATCAGACATGTACAGATATTTAGCCAGAACTTAAAGCAACATTACATTTGCTTAGTCTTAGAAAGTGTATCCCACTTATTGAAGAATTTAATATATTGAAACTAAAACCACAATCTGAAAGACTCGGAGTAAATAACCTTTTACAACAACAGGGCTTGGGAGAAATCAAGAAGATGCTATTTTGGCTTTAATGTTTAATATATTCTGACGACTTCAACAGTTTATCATTCACCTTAGCTATACATAAATAGTTAGGTTTTTTGTTTACTAAGATATTGGACTTAGGAAATGCCTAGACCTTTAGTCAACCTCCACAGGATATGGTTGACTAAACAAGATAAAAGCTAGGACAAGGACATTTGACACAGGGCTAAGACTAAATATAAAAATAGCTGACAAAATGATTACTTGTGCCAAAACAATGATGTGTCATCCTAACACAGAAACATCTACAATATCTTCATGTTATCTTGACCTCCAGACAACCAGAGGTAATCCTCCAAACATAAAGCATACCAAGGGTGAAGGACTTTAAAATGCCTTTATTACCATCAAGCTTAACTTTTCTACAACTGTGGACAAAGGTGTAATTGTTCACTACAAAGGACCTTTAACACATCTTTGGCATGTTCTTATTACTGATTTGACTGTATGCCAATAAATGACATCTCCAATAAGCTTGTAGTGTTGGTTTTGCCTGGTTGATTTATCATTCTAAGACAGTTGAACACCCTTATTAGCTCTTGTTGGCGCGTGCTGGTAAACAAGCTTGAATGAAAGCCAGGCAGCATATGAATAGCACAAAGTGAAAATGATGTGCTAAACTGTGATTTCATGTCTTCATAGCTTACAAGTGTTGCAGTGCTTTACTAGTAACTATTGTTATGTTTGCTTGCCAACTCATTCAAGTTGTCATAATACAGTGTCAAATGGATTGATGGACGACATGGGTAATGGGCAGCAAGTTTCGTGACAGTTTTCGCAAAGTTTTGTAAATTGAGGGTTGCCATGTAGACACAACTTATTTCTCAGGCACCAATTAATTTCCCCCGTACTAGGATGCTGATGTGTACATTTTGTTCAAGTTAGTAAAAGATATTGTGCTTCTTTTTCTTGGAAATAAAACTCGGTTTCCACTGTAGGTAAGAAGCTAGTTAGCTGGCCATGCTAACAATTGAAGTCTCCATTAAAGCAGATGAACACATGCCTTACAATTAGTTTTTAGTGGTTTTAGTTTGGAACTAAAAACGACACAATCATCTGTTACTACTCAAGCCATACTGTTTCATCATGTGGGAAAATGCGAAGCTATAATTGAACAGTGTGGATTTAGCGATTTGCCACACTTAACCAATAGGAAAAGAATGCAAAATGTTTTTAAAAACATGGATTGAAATGAAGTGAACAACGCACATCTTTGACACCAACTCTTGAACATTACATTACATGTTGTTTAGCTAACGCCTTTATCCAAAGAAACAAACATAAACCTTAAAACTGTAGGTATTCCTACGGGAGTAATAGCCACTCTTATAATATATGTAATATAAGTCCAATCACATAACTTAATTCCCAATCAACTTCAACCTCCGAATCAGGCATTAAGTAACTGAAAACATACAGTAGCACTGGGTCTTAGGAGCATACACTTGTTTTGCGTCCAATATTGGATATATGACCATATTAATCCAGCTACATCTTGTAAAACTTACTTTGGATTCATCATTTCGTTGATATCCTTGAATAAAGTAAGTAATATTACTCATTTCTAAATTAAATCACTTTTTAAGATCAGATGTTCTCACTGTGTGTTCACCATAATTGTGTCACATGTTAAGTGGTACGAGTCTAAAAACAAATAATAATTTCTCCTGTGTTTCTACCTTCCAGGCCTCAGTGTGTTTGGACAGGAGCTCCCATCAGGCCCTCACGGCTGCACTGAGGGAAGCTGTTACCCTGCGACAGGAAACCTTCTGATTGGACGAGCCGTCAACCTCTCCGCCACCTCCACCTGCGGCCTGAACGGGCCGGAGCAGTACTGCATCGTCAGCCATCTGCAGGTCAGGAAACACATGAACAGTCAATGTGAAATCTAAGAATATCTGATTCTGATTTTCCATTCATACCTTCCTAATGATAGGTTAATCATGCACATTCTTTATTTCCTTCACCCTGTATTTTGACTTGACTCTCCCTCCTGCCTGTTCCATACCTCTCACACACCTTTACAATACAGCACTCCCTGTAGTCTATGCAGTAAAAATGGGATGGTTTGTTTGTTCTTTTCTTTATGCACTCATCCGTCTTCGTCCTCCTGTCTCCACTCTTCCATCTGCATTTGTTCATCCGTTTGTTTGTTAGCCCAGTTTCCATGAGCAAAGCCCCTCGACGCTCAGGCCAGGTGTACACACACGTCAGCCACACCTTAGTCCTACACACACACACACACACTCACACACACACACACACACACACACACAGACAGACAGACAGACAGACAGACAGACAGACAGACGCACGCACGCTAACATGCATGCACACACACTCCATCCCTCTCTCACTGTATATCTATCTCTGTCACTGTCTTGACCTACGTTTTTTTACTTATACTTATTACTTATACTTTTTCGTGCTTACTTTAACTTTTTGTAATGCACATTTGAAGTATTGCATGTGTGGAAAAACAATCTAACTTCCTCAATTTCAAGATTGAAGATTCACATGAAAGCACAAATTAACCAATATTTCCAAAGACATGAGTAAATGTAGCCTCTACTTGACTTAGCCAAATCACTCAAGACTAGTTCATGAAAACGCACTTAATATGCATTCCTTTTTGCCCATATTTAAAAATGTTGCTTGATGTTTGCTTGATCATTATCATGATGTCATTCTTCCTTCACACCATCGTTGTCAGGCTAAAATGCACCATAACGACGCAACTAGTTTGGACAGTCTTAATCTCTTGACTTCTGCATGGAGGTATTTAATGGTTCATGTTCAAATGTTTAAACTTGAATTTATATATTTTTAAACTGCCTGTTAGTATTATTTCATTCTTTTAAGTTAGTAGGTAACTGATTATGTTCTCTGTTCTAAACTAAATGTACACATACAGTAGATGTATGAGCAGTCTGAAAGCAGCAAACACATATTCTCCCAGAGAATTAAGCACTATCTTTTAACAACTTCCACATTAGCCCCTGCCCACTGCCTAAATAAATCCAAATACTGATATTTTGGTTAAATAAATACAGCTTTGCATCACACCCCTAGTTCATACCTGTGGGATGCAAGACAACATGCTGTTACAGTCTCTCGTCACCACCCCCAGTATGCAGCGCTTGTATTTCTTTCTGCCCCTACATGACATGCTCCACATCATGTTGACATCCACCGCCCTCTCTACCCCTCATGCATTTCCGTTCAAATGCGTGTATGTGCCTGTACCTCCGTCGCCTCAGGGCAGGAACATCCAACAGTGTCAACTTCCAGGTGAACATGATTGACATGGTCTGATTGGAGTGAGGCCCTCTGCTATAGGACGGGGCAGAATGTGGTGACAGCCTGTCATTGCTGCTCCGTCAGACGCTACTTTAGAGGCCCACACCAAACATTTAAATGTCCAAAAGTTCATCAATCATTCGTGTTGTTTCTAGCTTGTTTTTTTATTTGTTCTTGGTGAGATCAGATTGCAGAGTCTTTATGCACATTTGTAACCTAGGATAAGTATTGTGTGTAAGAGCTGCTGCCAAGACAATTGTGTTGACTTTAGACAAGAGAAAGGACTAAGAAAAGGTGAAGGAGAAGATGGGAAAACAGGGGAATGGTGGATGGTGAAAAAGAAATTGAGGATGCAGAGAAAGTCAGAGACATGGAGGCAAAACAAAATGGCACAAAAATCAGTAACATAAAGTATTAACAGCAGGGTAATGGATGTAACTGAAGTGGAAAAGGAACCACATTAGGGAGGTGGGGTGTACTTTTCTGTTAAAGCCACCATCGTAGTGTGACAAAGAAGTGTTTTCAAATCAACATCAGACTTACATCAGTGTATTGTTGGAGCAGAAAGCCTTATAGTTGAGCTGACCAGGCTTGACTAATGGGAGATAAATAAGAGCTCAGAGGAGGGAGGGAGGCTCTTAAAGCCACACCAGTTCACCCCGAGCACCAACTGAAACTACAGCGTCCTGGAAGGAGAGGATAGGAATCAGACTTATACTGTATCCAGCTCAAAACTTCCTTAATGAGATAACAGTGAGTAAATGACGCAATATGCAATACGCACTAACAATATAACGATGTTGCGATGAATGAGCACACATTCACTTTAAACTGAAAAAATAATTATTGGTGTAAAAAAAATATAGGATCATTATTTTCAACTCTGTTTGACTGAATAAATTGAATATTAACCGTAGAACAAAATTCACTATAATAATAGTTCAATTTTGCATAACTTAAGTGCATTTTATTCAGATACTTGTCTTTCTCAACTAGCTACATCTTTATCATATTTAGTCATATTCTCGCAGTGTCTTTATCGCACAAGTTGACATCATAAATAAGAATTATGATATGGCTCAGCCCTGCTGCTGTGGACCAGGTTGGAATCCCGCCTGTGCACCCTTTACTTGTGCAATTTCTTCCTCTTTCAAATACATCTCTGCAATAAGGGCCAAATTGGCGCAAAAATAATCTTAAAGCGGCCCTACTATGCTCATTGTCCTTTAATGTTCAAAAAGCTCTTTATGTTTCTCATACAGCAGCACCTCTTTTCACCCTCTGTCTGAAACCAGAGCCCAGTCTGCTCTGATTGGTTAGCTGGCCGGCTCTGTGGTGATTGGTCAACCACTTAGAGATGTCCCGCCCATATGCCTATCATGTAGAATGAGTTGGAGCGCTGGCCAATATAAGTGTTACATAGTGATGTCACTATGTGTGGGAGAGAAACTCCATCTGGAGGGATCTTGGGGATTTTAGCCTTTGCAGACCATTTACATTCACAAAACCTATAACACACTACAGGAAAGGGAAAACACAGAAAAACCAAGTGCCCTTTCAAAACAAAAAAGACAAATGTACGTAGTGCAGTCATAATATTAAAATGAATTAAGTGAGATGACTTTTTGTAGAAAATATATGAGAAATGTTGCTCTTCGACCTAAATCCCTATAAGCACTATGAAGCAGTAACAGAGTGACTCTCTGATGATGGCTAATTGCGTTAGGATGGATGTGCTACTGTGTAGAAAGGAATCCTTTTCAGAGATGAGGGCAGATTTATGCTGGGATTAGGGAGGCTGGGTGAAGAAGGCAAGCGTGCATGTAAAAAAACACACACATTCACTTACATGTACAAGTGGGCATGTGTGCAGCCATGGTCACGCACATCCACACAACTTTTTTTTCAAATCTCAGTTAAGTCTCTTTATTGGCATTGTTGTTGTTAGCAGCTTAATCACCCTGACAACAACCTAATTAAGAAATGCTGCCCTGGAATCCACTGGTTCTCTGCGCCAATTTACCCTCATCTGCCTCTTTCCCTCTCCCTGCTCCCCTCTTTATGGCACGCTCTCAAATGCACCCCCCTTTTGCCCTCTCTCAGCATCTCCCTCGCTCTCTGCCGGCCCCCTTCTTTGTCCCTCAACCCTGCCATGCCGTTTGAGAGCCCTCTCCACCGCATACCCACTTATCTCACCTGAGCCTTCCTTTCTCTAACTTCTCTCTAACACCCCTTAAGATTCAAGCCCTTACTCTTGGCTGCAGTCCCCACATTCTTCTATCTTTCCCATGCCCTCTGCTTTCCACTTCTTCCTCCACTTCTTCCTCTGCCACATCAATGTCTGCTTTTCACCAGCAAGCTGTGTGTTTTCCCTCAGTTGTCCCTAATTTCACCACTCCATTTAGGGAATGGCAATAGAGCATGCTATCATGGAAGTTCACGTCGCATGGGGTCAAAAAGCGATGGCATTTCCATTTGATTTCAGAAAAATATTGCAGAAAATAAGATCTTAAGCAAACCTATGCTTCTGATGCTTACACGTTTTGTTCGGTTGAAAATCATCACAAAATAACACCACTTGATTTTTGAAGTGTAAATGCAATCTCCAGTTGAAAATGCAACCAAACTGCATCGTGGTCAAATGGCAGCTCATCACCACCGCTAATCTAAAGGCTCAAACTATGTTTGACGTGAAGACGTTTTGTAGTCTCATTAAATCCCCTAAATATTTACTACCGTATTTGATGTCATAGAACAAAAGATGAAAGTCTCTTGAGCTTGTCTTACTGCAAACCTTATTTTTGCCTCTCACCAACAATGTATTTCAAATCATTGACTTTGAAATGAGGAGTAAAATACAATCTCATTTCCATGTTAAATGCCTCAGTCCTGCACCACGCGTCATGGCAAAATTAAGCCGATATCCGGATATGATACTAGTTATTGTTTTTGATTTTGGACATTGGAAACTCATTAGTTTTTCTGAACTTACAAAAGTCTTCCAGCTGGTATAATAGTTGTCTTTACCCAACAAGTCATTATATCCACATTAGTGATGATTATTTGAAAAGGCCCTAATACAATATAGTTGCAACATTGTGATCAAGGTATTTGGTCAAAAATGTTCTGATATTTGATTATTCTCTATATTGCCCAGCCCTGCTTCCACTTCCTTTTTTCTTTTGACCCAGTGGAAACACAAGCCAGTCCCCTCTGGCTTTTGTTCCTGGTTCACACTGGTATTGGCACACAGGGGCACTTTTAGATTTGCATCATTTCAGCTTGACAGATGAAATCTGAGGAAGCAGCTCTATCACAGAGGCTTGAGTGACACGGTACAATATGGCTACCAGCAACAAGACACAACCTGCAGACGCACTTAAATCGTTTAAATGGTCTCCCTTGTAGTACAACATCAACCGGCAGTTTATTTTACATTTTGATTTTTTTGCTGAAAAAAATCACCATGCTTGCTAGTTATTTTCATCTGTTAAACATTTTTAATTATTTATTTATTATGATATGTAAAACATCTGAGGGAAACCTTCCATGTCAGTGAATTTCTACAGGATTAAATGTCTGTTTTGTACCTCGACAGGAATCAGACAAGTGCTTCGAGTGTAACTCCCAGCATCCCTACGACCGGTACCGCCACAGAAACAGCCACCGCATCGAAAACGTCATCTACCTCATGGACAGGGATGAAAGCAACACCTGGTGGCAGTCTGTAAACGGTGTGTGCATGTGTATTTACAAAAAATGCTATATAAAAAGTGGACGTAGCCACCTTTACGTCACCCTACTATGGTTTTAATGTCCCAAAGGAAGCAAGAGGGGTTTTAGGGCACCTTCTTATGTAAGCTAAAGCACATGTTGTTTGCATAGCAAGCCACATCTTCAAAGATCTTAGCTGAATAACTTAGAAAGGAATGATATAAGAAACTATGTTAGCCTGTCATAATGCAAAGTTTACCTTCAATTAGGACTTCTTACATTGGTGCATTGTTCACATTAATGCACACATACCAATTAATGGGACAGGAAAAACATCCAATTGTAATTAAGCTAACTGCTTACAGTAAGGGGTCATATCTGGATTTTTTTTGTTCTACTTGATGTGTAAGCCCAGGTCTAAATGTAAACATATCTAAACCCTTTAAACTGAGATGTTCTGTGTTACTTTATGCCTTGTTGGGTTTTCTAACTGTAATGTTCTGACTCTAAATGTGTATTGTGATCATAAACTCATCGGGAAAATCTTTTCTGAGGTAATAGATCAAGTTGGGAATAGGGTTTTTTTCTCATAGACTCTGTGTATTTATTGAGAGTCTCTAACTGTGAGGAATAAATGTGTTCTTCTTGTTGTGGATTATAACCCTGTGGTAAAAAATGTAACCAAGTAATTACCCAAGTCTATATCAAAACACTTGTGAATGCTGTTGGGATGCATTGACAAGAGATATAGAATACATCTATAACCTCGTAGGGGTCATTTTGAAAGAGACTAACTATTGGAGATGAGACTTCTGCATCACTTGTGTTGTTATGACAATGAGTGACAGTTGTTTCCTCCACAGGAGAGGAGAATGTCAGCATCAGGATGAACCTGGAGGCTGAATTCCACTTCACACATCTCATCATGAAGTTTAAGGTACAAACACTCAGTTGCATGTATATTGGGATCTGTGTGTGTGTGTGTGTGTGTGTGTGTGTGTGTGTGTGTGTGTGTGGACCTCTGTTTAGGTGCTTAAGGACTTATTTCCCTCTTCTGCCCCTCAGACCTTCCGACCTGCAGCTATGATCATCGAGCGTTCGGCAGATTTTGGCCGCACATGGCGCCCCTACCGCTACTTTGCCTCAAACTGTACCAAGACGTTTCCCGGCACCCCCGCTAACGGCCTGCGCCACATCAACGACGTCATCTGTGAGGAGCGCTACTCTGACATCGAACCTTCCACCAATGGAGAGGTAAGAACTAGAAGAAGTGCTAGTAAAAAAATAAAGCCGGTGATGTTCAACAATTATGTTGCTGTTGAAGTGATAGTTCCGATTTTTTTAAGAATTTTATGACGTTCTTAACAAGAGAAAGATATTAACCTACAGTGGATGGTGGATGGCACTCCCTCAGTCATGAGAAACAGAGAGAAGTACCAGGAAAAACATTGGGCCTCCTAAAAACATCCATATCATTTTAAGTGTACACTATTTTAGGGACATTTGTCACCGTTGCAAACTGGACGATGATCCATTTATTAAATTAAGCTTAAAATAACTAATGTCTGTCTCGGTCAGAATTTTGAGAAATGTGTTAGCAAACAGTATGCCTGCTTTGGTTTCATTAGTCTTTTTTAGCTTTCCATGATCTTCTCTCATCCCATAATCTTATAGAATTGATCTGAAAAATGTTTTTCTTTATTTAAGGTGATTTACAAAGTTTTGGATCCAGCCATTCATGTGAAAGACCCCTACAGCTTGGACATTCAAGGTCAGTGGAGACTCTAAAGTCTAAATATGGATGGCTGACACTGTTACTAGCAGTGCAGCATAGTGTTCTATCAGAAGTTAACACTAATGCAGGATGACTACCGCTCCTCCTGGTTTAATCTTTGCAGAGATGCTGGAAATCTCAATGAGTCCAAACTGATAAAAAAAATATATATCCTCACCCTTTGCTCTATGCAGTGTTACACGCTCTGATGAAGGTCTGTTGGACCGAAAGCCCAAATAAAATGTAACACTTCCTAGATCTCAGTCAGAACAAGACTCCATTTTATATTAAACATAAATAAATACAATAAAATTAAAATAAAAACATGTATGCAAACATATATAATTAAAAGTAAATATCTGCAAATAAATATATACAATATATACAGTAGTTAATGAATTTGAATAATGTTATGAATGCTGAAAAACAGATTATTGATCCTAATGAACAGTGTAATAATAATCATTCCAAAGTGGTGTGAGAACAATTGAGTTAATGCTGAGTATTGCACAGTTGAATGATTGCACAGCCTAATTAGAGTACATATTTCACAGTGTATTAGGGTTTGACTACTGATGGGTACAGTAAGTCCTATCTGTGTGTGGGCATCTCTTTCATTAGGGGCCCTCATTCTATTTGATCAGGATCAGTTGAAACAAAATGCAACTTTACAGAATTATTACCCTGCAAAGCAACTTTTAAAGAAAATAGCCTTTGTAATATTGAGGCTAATATAAAGAGGAAAAAAACAGTCATTAGAAACATGTTTGCATACTAATGAATGATCCGTTTGGTCATGAAATTGAAATGAAATCAAATGAAACATAAATAATCCTTTTTTTTTCTTCTTACAGAACTCCTGCGTATCACCAACCTGCGTATCAACTTCACCAAGCTGAACACTCTGGGAGACGACCTGCTGGACCGGCGCTTCGACGTCCTGCAGAAATATTACTATGCCCTCTACGAGCTGACGGTCAGAGGGAGCTGCTTCTGCTACGGACACGCCTCAGAGTGCGCCCCCGTGCCAGGGGTCGACGCCCGGGACAACGGCATGGTGAGCTAATGGGCTAAAGATTCAAGTAAAAAAGTACTGTAATCATGGGTGGTGTGGGAATAAACAGAAACTTGTATTATCATTATGTATTATTATTGTATAACTATACTTCATTATGCCATTGTAATATTATCAATCAATCAATCAATCAATCAATGTTTATTTATATAGCCCAATATCACAAATGTTACATTTGTCTCAGTGGACTTCACAGTTTGTACAGAATGTCAGTATGACAATACGACACCCTCTGTCCTTAGACCCTCACATCGTACAAGGAAACACTTCCAGAGAAAACCCACAGTTTAAAGGGAAAATGGGAGAAACCTCAGGGAGAGCAACAGAGGAGGGATCCCTCTCCCAGGACGGACAGACGTGCAATAGATGCCGTGTGTAAATCGAAGAGATAATACATTTACAGCATAGGTAGACCAAATGTTTGGAAATGCATGTGTCTATGATAAGAAGATGAATCCACGAGGATGTCAACAATCCTGTGGGAGCCATCAGGGAAGTAGTATGATGAGAGTCAGGCAGGACCGCAGTGACAGGTTCAGCCACGACTCGAAGTCCCAGCGTAGATAGACACCAAAAAGAAATGTGGGGAAGCTGGGTTATTCGGAACATGAGAGTACACAGGTACAGACAGCGAGAAGGAAGAAGTAAGGTGTCCCCCGACAGTCTAAGCCGAGAGCAGCAAAACTAGGGGCTAACTGTATTTATGTCATTGTGTTATGTTCCTTTTTAAATTACGTTTTTACATTGTTTTACATTGCCAATTTTGTTTGTTGACTTGTGAAGCCCTCTGAGACAAATAGGATTTGTGATTTTGGGCTATATAAATAAACTTGAATTGAATTGAATTGAATTGAATTGAATCTAATCAGCCCTAACTATAAGCTTTATCAAAAAGGAAGGTCTTAAGCGCACTCTTAAAAACGGATAGGGTGTCTGCTGCCCGAACACAAACTGGAAGCTGATTCCACAAAAGTGGAGCTTGATAATAAAAGGCTCTGGCTCCTATCGTACTTTTAGAGACTCTAGGAACAACCAACAACCCTGCATTCTTGGAACGCAATGCCCTAATAGGACAGTAGGGTATAATGAGTTCTTTAAGGTAAGATGGCGCCTGCCCATTAAGGGCTTTGTAGACGAGAAGAAGAATTTTAAATTCTATCCTGTGTTCTATAGGGAGCCAGTGTAAGGCAGCCAGAACAGGAGTAATGTGGTCCCTTTTCCTAACTCTTCGGCATTATTCACTATGCCATTCATTAACCTTTCTGCTTATAATTTTACCCCATTGTGGCTAGATCCACGGGCGCTGCGTATGCAAACACAATACAGAGGGCCTGAACTGCGAGCGCTGCCGACATTTCCACCACGACCTGCCATGGAGACCCGCCGAGGCGGAGAACCCACACACCTGCAGGGGTGGGAACACACACACACACACACACACACACACACACACACACACACACACACACACACACACACACACACACACACACACACACACACACACACACACACACACACACACACACACACACACACACACACACACACACACACACACACTTTATCTTTAAGCTGTTAACGGTTTAAAACCTGAAAACCTTTTTGAAGGCTTGGTAATGTTTAAAGAAACACACTCAAGGCACTTTTTTTATGCACTGGTCCATTTTGGGAGATTAGGGTGTTTTTTTTAATAACATGTCTACTGTCATCCCTGGAAAATGAAAAACAAAAAAGCAGTTGTCTAAAAAGAAATTGGTTGTCTTAAATAAATGCCTCAACATTTGTTCAGATTGGAATTTCAGTATAGTTATCAAGATATTTTCGCCTCATTTAAAAATCTTATTGGTTAATGTATATCAGCTACTTTTCAAGTGTTAAAAAAGTGAAAAAGGAGCTGTTAGAACTACCAGTTTGGAAATTGGGGTTACATCTTGTTGCAAAGGTAATGTTCCACTTAATCTAATTCATTCTTATTTCTACAATTTCTTCCTCAGAGTGCAACTGTAACGGCCACACAAGCCAGTGCCACTTCGACATGGCAGTGTATCTGGCCACAGGCAATGCCAGCGGAGGAGTGTGTGACGACTGCCTGCACAACACCATGGGACGCAACTGTGAGATGTGCAAACCCTTCTACTTCCAAGATCCTGTTAAAGACGTCAGGGACCCACGAGTGTGTGTCGGTGAGTCTTCTGAACAACCTGTTTCCTGCCATTATGTCGAAATGTTCACTGTTCTACAATAAAAAACATCTAAATGAAGTCCATTATTGGAATTGTTTTCCATGAAACATTCAGAGAAAGTCTGTCAGCCAGCGGGTTGTTATCATTTCATTTGTTTCCTGGGCCAGAGCACTTGGCTCATTTATCTTGAAAACAGCCCTAGAATATAACCACAGTCCACAAACATTAACTGCACACACACCCTGAAGTGTCACAAGTGTTCTTATCTAGCTAGTTTACAATTTCTGTAGTTTTATCTCTGGCTCTCATTCTTTTCCACTGATCCCTTCTAACGCTCTCCATCTGACCTCTGACCCTCAGCCTGTGACTGTGACCCGGTGGGATCATTGGAGGGAGGTGTGTGTGACAGTCACACCGACCTGGACATGGGGATGATCTCAGGACAGTGTCGATGTAAAGTCCACGTCAAAGGCACACGCTGCGACGACTGCAAGGAAGGTTACTACGGACTGAGCCAGAACGACCCTCTGGGCTGCCAGCGTGAGTGTGTTTGTCTGCCGCTGAGACCGCTTCCTGTTTAAATAGGGACGGAAATTGAATTATAGTGTTTTGGTAAACACCACCACATTAGATATGTAAATATCACATCCTCCATAATCTCCTTCTTTGTGTTTATGTATCAGCTTGTAACTGTGACCCTCGTGGCATCATCACGAATGGAGCTCCTTGCGACCAGATCAGTGGGGACTGCTCCTGTAAAAGATATGTGACCGGTCGCTACTGCAGCCAGTGTCTGGTGAGTGAAACCTGTTCTTCTTACAAAATCTGTCGCTCATTTTGGGTTTCAGATCAAAAGATTTCTTCATATTTAAAGAAGAAAATCTGAGTCAAGGCACAGTTCTGTACGCTGTGTAGCATTGTGTGTGATATGCTATGTTTTTCACATAGATTGTGTAATAGAAAAAAAAGCTCTTCCAATGTGGAAGTGTCTTAAACCTGCATTCTTTCTAATGGCCAATGGGGTGAAACTCCACTGGTTGCAAAAAAAAGTCAATTAGCATAGAAATCTATGAGGATATTATCATATTTCCCTATTGAATTGTTACTTCAGTAAACACTTCCCTTAATGGTAAAAATGTTTGAAAAATAAAACATAAAAAAGCATATGTTTAAGGGCGTGGCTTCCTTGTGATGACAATTCACTAACATGGCGTCTTGTCAATTGAGATAGAGGCTTAGCAATGGGTATCACTCTACAGCTCCAAATATGGTCACTTCTGGCAAAAGAAAAATGCGATAGCTCAAATGCCAAACTTCGAAACGTCAGTCCACAAACTTGTTGCACAATTACAAGCTAAACTGATTTAGCTTGTCACACAATCAAAGAAAGAAAATCATATGATAGATGTCACTGTGAATCCTGGTGTTGACATGTATTTCCTTCCCTACAGCCTGAATACTGGGGGCTCAGTAATGATCTGGCCGGCTGCAGACAATGTGACTGTGATTTTGGTGGAGCTTTCAACAACAGGTATTCATTATTATCATGTTTTACCTGCATCTCTAAACATGCGTTGGAGAAAGAGAGGTCTTGAACTTTCCAAGTCTTAAGCATTTACACTGTTTGTTCCTTTAGGTGCATGATGGAGAACGGCCAGTGTGACTGCAGGAGGCATCTGATTGGTCGACAGTGTTCGGAGGTTCAGCCTGGGTATTTCTGCGCTCCGCTGGACTACTACAAATATGAGGCTGAAGACGCGACTGGCCACTCCCCTGGTGACGCTGCACTACCTGTGAGCACAGTGCTATGATTCAAACTAATAATAGATCCAGCAAAAGAAGGTCTATGCCTCTATGAGCTGCAGTGCTGGTGAGGGGTTGTTGCCACATGGCACCTGGTAGGAGCCGAAATATAAACGGGCAAGATCAGTTAATCAGAATCAGATGCAAATTCATTAAAAAAATCGAACAATTTAAATCAATATATATTTCATGCTGAGAGTTCAATGACAGTCCGATAGATTGCAGTAGATAGAAAAACTGAGAAGCGTTGCCTTTATAACATCTGTGCAATGTTTTCATTTTTAATCTATCCATCACAAGTGTGAAGCTGACCGTTGAGCGGCCCGACCAAGCAAGGAGGCAGAGGCATAACGTCCAAAATACAACCCGGTGTGGGCATTTATTACTCACGGGCACATGACACAGCCTCAATCTCGCTGTTCACGTGAGCACAGTCACCAGCCACAAGGATCTCACACACCCCAACAGGAAACACAGAGCCTAAATGCCCACAGACTAATCAACCAACAAGACACAGGTGAGGGGGGAGGAGACAACACAGGGCACCAGGTGAACACAATCAGGAGCAACAGACAAACGGGAGGGGGAACACTTTCAAACTAAACCACATGTGCAATATTACAAGGCCCGAAGCCGTCAGTCCACAGTGACGAAGTTACCTTCGTCACAACAAGACTATAAACCTTTGTCCAGAAGAAGGAAGTTGAGATTCTGTGTGCAAAGGGCGAGAGACATCATCAAAAATCCTGTTGAGTATTTGCTGTAATTGTCTGGTGTACAGGGACCCTAGGTTAAACTCACCAGTCAGCCTTCTACCAGAACCATTTAACCATTTTAGTATCGAGACTTTCTGATATTTAAAGACATGCAATGAGACCTTTGACAAAGATCCAAATATATTCCAAAAAGCACAACAGTATCAGGTCATCATAGTGTTGTCAATGTAGAAATAGGACCTTTTCATTCAACAAAACAATTGCTTGTGCCTCTTTTGTACACAGCTTCAAAAATAGCTTGAAAGTTATGCTTTCACTCTTTCAAATATTCAGTATACTGAGTATCAGGCAAAAGACAAATACAAACGTTTTACAATATTTCTCTATAGGTTTTTTTTTTTAGAGCTTCTCAGTGGCAACAACATGCATCTTTGGTGGCACTATTGCCAGATACAACAACATTCATTTTGACAACAAAGGTGCTTTTGCTCAATTCTGGACAAGTTTGAAAAAACATGGAGAAAACTGGGTCCAGTTTGAAACAGAAATAGCCCTTTTTCTCATTAAGCTCCCCCCTCTGTGACAGGCCTGTTCCTGCTGTCACTGTCTACCCTCTCTCACATTCTTCACTGTCTCCTCCACCCACCTCCGTCCTCTCCACTTTAGGCAGACCCCCTGCCCCCTCCACTTCGCCATTCATCCCTCTGGGCAAGCTCAGACAGTCCTCACTTACAACATCACTGCTGCAGGAATTTGTGTAAAAAAGCCATTATTGACTTCAGAATGTTATGAGACAAAGAGCAACAGGAGATATGTCTTTGACATTGTGGGCTGTTGTCTTTAGGGGGGGGGGGGCATGGCTTGTTCAAACTGACGCTGGATGGAAATTGAGTGCACATGCTGACAGAACATGCAGAATACAGTCAAAGTCCTGCGTTTCTGTACAGCATTTCAACTCCACAGCTGAAGTGACCCATAAAAACGACAGACTGTGGCACAGATACCAACCTGTCACAACTAATTATTATACAACTCAGACTCACTGTCTATGTTTCTCTCTGTCACGCTCCGGGAATTTCAGCACAGTGGGACACTTAGTGCCCTGACTTGTAATTTTCACTTTTGGAACAGGAAAAACTTGGATAGGATGAGCCCCTGTATGTTGTGAGAAGGGTTGCTGTAAAAAAAGTGATATCTATGATCGACACAAACCCTCATGAACCCTCCTCTCCTCTCCTCTCCTCTCCTCTCCTCTCCTCTCCTCAGGGTAAAGTGCGTCCTCAGGCAGAGACGGACTGTGTTCAGCACCTCAGTAACCAGCTGAGGAGGCACCGTCGCCACCGTCGCATCACCAACTCGCAGCAGCACCGCTCGGCACTGAGACGAATCCGCCAGCTTCAGCAAACGGTATGATACATTCTTTGAATGACTGATTTCCTTTTTAGTTTGTCAAAAGATGAAATAACTAGTGTTTTTACAAGTACATCACAACAATTTTAAAGCCAACAGTTGTATAGGTTTGTTGTCATTTGCTACATGCACCACTTGACTATTTGAGGGTAACTAGCCTAATTAAAGGCTTTGTTATCAAGTTCCCTTTGTCATTTCAAACTAGTCAAGCTGAAAAAGAGATGTGAATATGTAGGTGTTTGTCCTGAAACTTCAATCAATAAGCAATGGTTAGTCATTGCCCAATTCTTCAGGTAGCTTGAGATCATACAAATTATTATTCAGCTGATCGGATATGTACGCTATTCTCTATGTAGAGTTAGTGAAATGTACTCATTTATCTCCAGCCTTAAATGAACACATGAGAATCCATCCACTTATATACATATAAAGTAGAAGTTGTAGTAATAGTTGTAAAAGGTTAAATCATTCAGTGTGTAATGTCTCTGTCTCAGCCGGATGTGAGGAGCGTCCACAGAGAGCACACCCCCAGCCACATGGTGACGTGGACCGGTCCTGGTTTCGCCCGCGTCAAAGACGGTGCGGGCCTGGTGTTCAATATCGACAACATCCCCTACGCCATGGAGTACGACATCATGATCCGCTACGAGCCTGAGGTGTGTGTGTGTGGAGTGGACCACGAGCCACAAGATTGATGTAAAACACTTTTTTTTCTTATTAATGAAGTTTTGTGTGTGTGTGTAGTCCACAGAGGACTGGGAGGCTATAGTTAGTGTTACCTCTGTGCTGCTGCCGTCCAGTCTCCGGTGTGGAAACCTCCTTCCAACTGAACAGCTCTACACAGTCACTCTGCCACACCGCAACAGGTACCAACACTTTTATATCTGTGTGTGTGTGTGTGTGTGTGTGTGTGTGTGTGTGTGTGTGTGTGTGTGTGTGTGTGTGTGTGTGTGTGTGTGTGTGTGTGTGTGTGTGTGTGTGTGTGTGTGTGTGTGTGTGTGTGTGTGTGTGTGTGTGTGTGTGTGTGTGTGTGTGTGTGTGTGTGTGTGTGTGTGTGTGTGTGTGTGTGTGTGTGTCATTCCCAACTTAATCAAAAGCAGTGAAAAAAAAACAACATAGGACATTCAATTCCAGAAGTTGTTATATATACCTGCCGAAAAAAGAGGAAGCAGAACAGCATACATTTAGTTTAACTCTCATGACATTGAAACACAGAAATGGACACGCTTGACATTACAGGAGATTTTGTCGTTATTTTGTCACATTAAATCCTGTTGTTGTTTTTCACACGCAGTCTACTCTTTTTGAGTTAAGTGACAACAAGTAGATAAATACTGTTGCAGGTCAAATCTTAACAACTGGGGTTGAGGTGAAATTGCCATGGGACAAAAAATTTGAAAGTCAAACCTAAGATAAAACTAACAAAAAAATGTGAAAACTCAAATCTATTATAACCTTTTTTTATGTGTAAGGAGCCAGTGTGTTGATTGAAGTCACACGGTGTCGATAGCTGATATTGTATTGCTCAGGAAGACTTGCATTGTTCAATTGTTGTCCCTTGAACCTGCCCTGGCCTGTATGCTCTCCATGAGTTTAGGCATGTATTTGTATTGTTGTTTCACTGTAGCCTGAGGTACGTTTCTCTATTGATTCCCTGATAAGAGCGCACACATACCTGAAAGCTGTGTAAGAATCCGCTACAGTGCTATGAAAGGAAGCCAGCAGCTTTGTTTACAGAAGTGTAGAGTAGGAAAAAAAGAAAACTTGTTGGAGAGAAGCAGAAAACATTCCAGTCTGGATCAACCACATACATCCAATACATACATTTCATTCCCACATATCTTTAAAGCAAGGGTATGTTATGTATTTTCGATGTTTTATTTGTTGAAAAAGTCTTTAGCAGGGTTTGAAAAATTGATGTCCATTTTGCAATTGGAAAGACTTATCCCGTGTTAAGAAGAACCCTTAATGAGTTTGTGAGGGACTGGTCACTATTGGCACTATACATGAAAGAAGAATGGATAGTTGTTATATTTCTGGCGGTAGGAAGTGTAACAGAACAAGTACACACAGTTGGTCAACGCACAATCTTTTGACTACATTGACTAAAAACTTTTTTTTGTGACGTCTTCTTTGAATTTTGCACAAGTTGAAGAAGACTATTTACTTAAGTAAGAATTGGCAAAACTACCGTGTCAAAATACTCAGTTACAAATAAAAGTCCTAAAATTACAAAAGTATAATCAAAAAATATTTTATATTTATTTATTTATTAGTACCAAAAGTAAATGTACTAATTATGAAGAATGGCCCATTTAAGCACCATATATTTTTAATAATTGTATCATAATTTTGATTCATTAATGTGTTCATCACTCCTAAATTAGACTTGAGTTGAATCACTTTATATACTAATGGGAAGCTTAAAGGTAGGGTAGGTAAGAATGGAGAAACCAGCTCGAGTGCGCTAGAATTTGAAAGTACGCAGCCGAAAAAAATCTGCCCCTTCCTTCAGACTTCCTTATAGAGCCCCTCCTCCAACACACACGAACGCACACATGACCAATGAGGGCACGAGATAAGTTTGTGCACAGATGGAAGGCTGACAGGCAGGTAGGCCATCCAGTTATTTTAGCCGGGCTGGCTCAGATGATTGGTTGTGCTTTTTACAGTACTACAGCTTCCACAGATGACATTTTTTTATGGATTTATTGTCAAAGCATTTAATATATTCATTGATATCGGGATGTTAAGAGCATTCCATGGAATATAACATAAAGTGTATCTGAAGTGAATTACCTACCCCACCTTTAACCTATAATAATATATGAAAATGTATTAGTTTTGGTATTGTATCATCTAATGTTGGTTAAAAAACTATTGAACAAAACTCTTTACATGTGGCCAGCAATCAATAAATCAAATGATCCGACGGAAACAGGCAAAAAAACATGTATCTGTGTCGCAGGAGAGAAATAACACTACTATTACACTTGTTCACACGCTTGTTCAAAGTACCTACTTTGACACGAAGATCATTAAAAGCCTTAAATCATTACAGCGCCATGTTAACCTCACGATGATCTGCTAGTATTAAAATCGTACTGCACATGAGACCGATAACTGCGGTTCAGTGTTGATTACTCTTGATATTCTTGGTTAGTAGGATATAAGATAAAAACGGTGAGAGCCTCTCACGGAGACTGTTATGTGCTGAAAAGCCTTTCAAGAGTCTGTACTGATCTGGAACTGAGAGGTCAGGCCCGCCCGGATCTGGCTGTCTCAGCGGACCGTAGCTGGTCTTCCGTTCTCTCCTGTGGTTGGTCCATCAGCCAAAACCAATTAGCAGAGTGAGCCCAAAACACAGACAGAGGGGCCGGAGTCAAACGCAGGTAGAGGGGGGATCCAGTTTCCTCTGGAGAACACTGGGCACTTGAGAAATAGACAACAAGTCCGAGATAGAAGTAGGAAATAACCTTCCACCAAAACCTAGTCTCAAAAGATACCGTACTTTGTCTGTTTGGTTTAAATGTGATGTTTGACTTTGCAATATTACCTTTGTCTACCTATTTGCCATTACGAGTTCTTAGCGTAAATATACCAAGTTGGTTCTAATGTTTAGCAATTTCATTGTTTATCAATTTTTATTTTTAAATATTTCAAATTATTCCTAAAAATACGTTTTGCCAACAGTTAGATAGACTTAAAATATATTGTAAAAAGTTCCACAAACCCAAGAAGAAATGGAAAAGTTCAACAAACACAAAAATGAATTGAGAATTTCCACAAACACAAGAAGAATCAACAAAAAGTCAAATAAACCCAAGGACAGATGGAAAAGTTGAACAAATAAAAGAAGAAATGGAAAAGCTCAAGAACATTTTTTTAAATAAATAAATAAACAAACCCAAGAAAGAATGCAACAAAAGGAGTGAAACAAAATCCATCTAATTAAGTTTACATTGAAAAGTTGAAAAAACCCAAGAGAAGATGGGAAGTTGAATAAACAGCAAAAGAAACATTTGAAACGTTAAAAAACACAATTAAAATGTTCCACACATCAATAAGAAAGAACGAAAATGTTCTAACTCTCAAACTAAAAAAACGTCTCCCGCTTTTTCTTCAGACCCTTATACAAGTGTCACTTCAGAAGCCCCTTGAATATATTTTACTTCGACACATGTATATATTTCAGTATTTTATATGCATCATGTTTTTCAGATACATCCAGATGCCCCGGCCGTTCTGTTTCGAGCCCAGTAATCGCTACGTGGTTTCCATCCGGTTCCAGCGCCACGGGGTCACACACAGACACCTCACTGCCTTCATTCTCATTGACTCGGTGAGCAACCCCCTTTATTCACTATCATTTAATGCCAATAAAAAGCACATTTCTAGAAAAACCTTGACAAATCTCTGGCTTGTACAGTTGTTTTGTGTTTCCTGCTATCCTTCCCCCCCCCCCCCCGCTCATAATCCCAGTCTCTTTACATGTACCTCCAATTCTATATTTACAGTATAATCCTTTCCTTTTTTTAACCTTCATCTTTTTTGTTCCTCTAATAGCTGGTTCTAATCCCCAAATACAATGAGCTGCCTGGTTTCCAAGGGAACGAGGTGGAGGCGGAGCAGCGGCGGGAGGAGATGATCCGCTACATGTGTCTGGATTCCTTCATGATCACACCGATGCCCGCCCTGGCCGAGATGTGCTCCAAACTCATCTGCAGCATATCCTCCATCATTCATGATGGGGCTCTGTGTAAGTACACACAAACACACAAAACATGCAGATATTTTAAAAGATGTGGGGTCAAATGCGTTGGCAATTCCTGGATCGCTTTCTTTTTATTTATTTTATTGGTGGTAGTGATGAAATTGTTATGTATTATTTACATGGGTCACATTTAGGCTCCCAATACAGACATCTGTCCACAGTTGTTATCCACTTAAATATACATCATATTAACCTCTATAATCTTTCATTAAGATGTAAACCGCTTCTTCCATTTCTGTATACAAAGATGACATATTGTCCTATTTATCCGAATTGCATCACCTTGGATGAGAGTTTTTTCACATGGAAGTAGAAGGAGAGTCATCCCCGACTTACTTCACCATTTAATTGTGAGCATTATAAGTGATTGAACCACTTCTCTTGTTAATTAAGAGACTCTGGGACATTTCCCGGCAGGCATAAGAGGGAATTTGCTGACACCTGTTGGTGCATGGCTGAACTGATGATTGAGTAAATTGCCCTCCACAATAATTCTGTTGCAAGAATTTTAACATTTGGGGCACAAATAGAATTCCTGCTTTATCTGTTTCAATTTTTTTCAAATGTATAAACTTAGTTTAGTCCATACGTGTACATTGTTTGAAAATACAAAACTAATCAAACTCATGTTTAAATTAAAGGTGGGGTAGGTAATTTTGGAGAAACCAGCTCGAGTGTGCTAGAATTTGAAAATACACAGCCGGAAAGAATCTGCCACTTCCTTATAGAGCCCCTCCTCCAACACACACGGACGCGCACATGACCAATGAGGGCACGAGATAAGATTGTGCACAGATGGAAGGCTGACAGGCAGGTAGGCCATCCAGTTATTTTAGCCGGCCGGCTAAAATGATTGGTCGTGCTTTTTACAGTACTACGGCTTCCACAGATGACATTTTGTTATGGATTTTTTGTCAAAGCACTTCAGATATTCATTGCTATCGGGATGTTAAGAGCATTCCATGGAATATAACAAAAAGTGTATCTCGAGCCGGTTTCTCAAACTTACCTACCCCACCTTTAATTAAAAAAGACAAAGAAACTTGCCTTATCTATGCAATTTAAAAAAGGAAAGTAATTATTAAACAAATACATTGAAAGTAATACAGAATTCACAAAAATAAACAACGGGGGATCATTCTAAAAACGAAAACACTAACATATTTAAAGGGAGATTAAACATCATTGCAAGACATTGATAATTCCTGCTTTTTACTGACTACAAACATGCAGTGATAAATACTTGGATGCATTATAAATGACATGTACTGATCTCTGTATCTTCTGTGTGCAGCGTGTCAGTGTGACCCTCAGGGCTCCCTCAGTGGGGAGTGTGACAGGGTGGGGGGTCAGTGTCGCTGTAAACCCAACGTGATGGGTCGCCGCTGTGACCAGTGTTCTCCAGGAACATACGGCTTTGGAGTGAGCGGCTGCACTGGTGAGTCAGATCTATCATCAGCAACGTCTGTCACATGCTTCACACAACCACACCAGAAATGACACCAGACCATCATCACAATCACAGCAAAGTAGGAAAAGAGAAGATCCACACAGACGCCACAACACACTTCTAGTGGGGTGTACGTTTTTAGATTTAGAGGGATCATTTTTGTAATAGTCAAAACATTTATATACAGTCTTTTTTATTCAAGTTTATACTTTGAAAAAATGATTGCTACAGTATATACACTTCTGCGCTTTCAGCAAATGTCATTTACATTTTTCGAATTGTAAAAAAAAAAAAAAGGGTTAGGGTTATACATGAACCCCACAAAGACCGTATGGCCAAACTTAAATAATGTATTAACTACAACTTTTTGCAACCGACAGTTTTTCCTAACTTTTGAACACAAATAAAAAGAAGAGCCACTAGATGGCAGAACGCTACTTCACAATACAGGCTTGCTCAATACATGTTTCCTCACTAGCAAAAAGGTGTTTGTCATTTACACTCAAGTCATGGAGTAGTAAACACAGGACTTTCTGGTTTTGTTGTTTCTACATCATCTCCAGTTAGAGTTTGGGTCATCCAATCACATTTGAATTGTATTGTCTTTTTATACATATTTGATCACATATTTGTATGAACCATTGAACTTAACTGTAGATCTGTGGTTTTAATGATATAGACACACTATATATATATATATATATATATATATATATATATATATATATATATATACATACAAATATAAATATATTTGTTTAGTTCTGTGTGCTGATGTGCTATTTATGTTTGTATATCATGTTATGTTTTTTATAAAAGATATCTTAACCTATGCATTTTTCCTAGTCACTTAGCGATCTGAAAAACAGTGACTAACCCTTTGAACCTGTCGTCCCGCCCAGCCTGTGACTGCCACTCAGAGGGGTCTTTGAGCCACCAATGTGACCCGGCCACAGGACAGTGCCAGTGCAGGCAGGGAGCCACGGGGCGTCAGTGCTCAGACTGCCAGCCGGGCCAGTGGGGCTTCCCCAGCTGCAGCCCCTGTCAGTGCAACGGCCACACTGACCTCTGTGACCCCCGCACGGGGGAGTGTCGGGACTGCAGGGACTACACAGCAGGACACCTGTGTGAGCGGTAAGAGTCCCTCTGAGTCAGACTATCCTCCCGTCCCTGAATATTAGACTGATGATGAATGTCTCCCTCGTCTGTCCCAGTTGTGTGGATGGGTTCTTTGGAAACCCGGTGCTGGGTTCAGGGGAGCACTGTCGGCCCTGCCCCTGCCCCGGGAACCCCGGCTCGGGTCACTTCAACGGGCACTCCTGTGAAGCTGACCAAACCTCCAACCAGATCATCTGCACCTGCAGACAGGGCTACGCTGGTAAGCTAGCACACTGAACACACACATGTTCTTATTTTTGTTAATCACTTTTTGCTCTACTATGGTTCAGCTATATTTCATGTAATAGTTTACTTTTTCCTGCATTTCACTTGCACTATTTGATTATTTTTTATGTCTTAAGCATATTTTTTTGATGCATAGTTGGAGCGGCCTAGGACTTTATATTTTCATTGCCAAATCTACAATGGAGCTATTATGCATATGCAATTAAACCTTTGAGTCTTTGAATCGCCCGTGGTCTGATTACAGTTATATATTATAGGTGATCCTGCATTCAAATATGAAATACTTACCCTCTACTTACCTCTCACATCAGAAGTCTTGAAGCTAATTGTCATGCTATATTCTCCCTTTTATCGCTCCCCTTAGGGTCCCGCTGTGATCAGTGTGCCCCTGGTTTCTATGGCAACCCAGAGCAACCTGGCGGGCAGTGCCTCCCGTGCGAGTGCAACGCTAACATCGACACCCAGGACCCCGGGTCATGTGACCCCCGGACCGGCCAGTGCATCAAGTGCCTGTACCACACCGACGGCTCCTCCTGTGACCACTGTCAGAACGGTTACTTTGGCAACGCTCTGGCACACGACTGCAGACGTGAGTTAGGATAGCAGATGTCACATTTAATTCCTTTAAGTTGCCTAGAATTAGGGGTGTATGAGTTGCATATTTTTCTTTTACTATGACTCATTCCAGATTCAATACCAAACCCCCTAGTATTGAAATGGCAGCGTGCGAAGTTTTAAGAGAAAATGATGTTTCATTATTTGTACATACAGTATATCTTTACAAACAAACTGTCTCCTCTCTGTCTGGGCATTACATATTGGTTTCTATCCTCAGGCTGTACTTGTGTGACTGCTGGCACGCTGCAGTCTGCGTGCCCTGACGGAGAGTGTCACTGTGACCGGCAGAGCGGGGCCTGCTCCTGCAGGGAGAACGTGGCGGGCCATAACTGTGACCAGTGCGCCGCCAACCACTGGAACTACGGTCAGGACCGAGGCTGTGAGCCCTGCGGCTGCGACCCCCAACACTCTCTGGGAGCTCACTGCAACATGGTGAGCAAGCAGAGGGTCTGAAAGCCTGGGAATGGATAATGCAAACTGGGATGAATACATAATTGTCTGCTTCTCTCTGTCTTCAACAGTTCACAGGGCAGTGCCACTGTCATCCAGGCTTCGGAGGGAAACAGTGCACTGAGTGTGAGCAGTTCCACTGGGGAGACCCGCAGGTGCAGTGTCAAGGTATCTCACCATGTGACAGATACTGCTGGATAAATACCACATGTGCACAGAAAATGGGAATACTGTACTGTAAAGCTAACAGTCATGAGTGTTTTTTTCTTTAGAGTAGAAAACATTTAGTGAAGCTGTAAAACAATCAGTGTGTCAGTGTTTGGTGTTTCATGGCCGAAACCAAAACTTCCCTTCCTGTACCTTTCCAATAAATAAATAATATGTAACTTTCCTCATTAGAATATCTTAAAATTACTAGACATACGTTATATATTTTGTTGAGTTGTGTTTTGATATATAATCACAAATGTTTCTATCTCTTTTGAAAATCCTGAAATCTATGATTTTAATCAAGCTAACAGTTGTATCGCTTTTGCGCAAGTCTATATTTTTACCAGGTGATGGATTTTGTCATCATAGCCCAGCGTCTTAACTAATCAGAGAAACATGCTGAGGGAACATTAGTGGCAGTTTTGCCAAACATCATCAGAGAAACACACATTTTAAATATGAAACGGCTTTATTCTGTGTTTTTACGCATTCCAATCACCGGGTCCATTTGTTTTTGAGCGGAGGAGACTTTTGAGCATCATTTTTAAAGCATGCTGATGGATGAACACTGAAGGCAACCTAACCACTAACCCCCATGATTCCACGCTACATCACAACAAGGGCGAAGTAGCTTCAGTCTTTTTTTAGAGGTCATAAAAATAAAATCTGAGGTTTTTAATATTATCATACAACACACTCTCACTCCATAAACGTCCAGGAGCGACGCTTGGTCAGGGTCCCGAGGCGTGCAGTTGTGACGCGCCGAGGCTCCTTCAGCTTCATAAACAGACGCAAATAGCTTTCAACTGATTGCAATGTATTCCCATCTGCGGCGGGATTTGACGCTCATGGAAGCACGGCATTCGTTTGTGTCGGCGGCCGTTAAAGGCAATGTGAGCGTCCATTCCCATTGGATAACGGAGAATTGTACACCCGGAAGTAAGTATTCTCCTTACTGTCGATTGATTTGACAGTGATATCTCCACTACTCATCAACTCAAAAACACCAGATTATCCTTGTTAATTAAACGACATTGATAGGTTTTAGTGTGTGTACAATGCTTTTGTCACGTTTTCCCCTTCAATTCTGAGAAACAAGTCGTTTTCTATGAGTTTTGGATGGCCGAAGACATTACATTACCCACAATCCTCTGTAGCAACCATAGACTGTATATTGCAACAGGCAACAGCTTCGGTTCATGTTAATTTACAAACTCTTCAACTACAACCATAGTTATATTTAAAAACATGTTAGAAGGCCTCGCGAAATACTTTAATGTACATTTAAATTTAAATGTGAAGGAATGTGTGTATATTAACTGTGGGTTTTTCTCTGGAAGTCTTTCCTTGTACGATGTGAGGGTCAAAGGACAGATGATGACATTTTTCTCATACTGATATTCCGCTATGCACGCTGGGATTTGGTGTTTATGCCATGTGAAATTTTAACTGATATTATACATATGTATTATACTCTTATAAGATGTATAATGTAGATAGTATAAGAAATGTGCAGAATATGACAATGTAATGGTGGAGGTACACACATATTGATAGATGTCTTGTAATGCACTGTTGAGGAACCTGCGACCCAAGTTTTTCATTCATTGCATAACTACACCGTAGTTGTGTATATGATCTGTCAATAAACCTTAGAAAATCTTGAAATCTTGAATGGGATGTGCAAAATAGTCATTATATACAGTCTTTAATTAACTATTAGTAGAGAATAACAAAGAGTAAAGACTATACTTTATAGGGATCCTATTAATATCTAATAATAAAATTATAAAATGCGATAACGTGCTTTAACCAGTCCCTTTCTATCAGCTGTGCACCGTTATGGCGTAAATACAGCCTATCTACCAATTGGATCAAATATAAAAGTCAGCCGAATTAGTGTTGATACTGCAAGGAGACGTATTGTGTGAAAAGAAATGTAAGATGTTGTTTAATTGCTTATATATTTAAGATCCACGTCAAATTTTCAGTTTTGGCGGCAGTTCCTGTTTGTCTAGAAGTCTTCTCATCAGGGCTCTATAAATAGACAACTACGGCAGATATGTAATATTTAATGCAGGCGAAACGTGTATTACAATGCCGTTATGTGATGACTTTCAAAGAGAAAAGCAAGCACACTCGGAATAATGTATTATTTAATTTTTTTAAATGTTTTCGGATTTCACATCGCATAAACACCAAATCCCAGCGTGCATAGCGGAATATCAGTATGAGAAAAACGTCATCATCCCACAGTTAATATACACACATTCCTTCACATTTAAATTTAAATGTACATTAAAGTATTTCGTGAGGCCTTCTAACATGTTTTTAAATATAACTACGGTTGTAGTTGAAGAGTTTGTAAATTAACATGAACCGAAGCTGTTGCCTGTTGCAATATACAGTCTATGGTTGCTACAGAGGATTGTGGGTAATGTAATGTCTTCGGCCATCCAAAACTCATAGAAAACGACTTGTTTCTCAGAATTGAAGGGGAAAACGTGACAAAAGCATTGTACACACACTAAAACCTATCAATGTCGTTTAATTAACAAGGATAATCTGGTGTTTTTGAGTTGATGAGTAGTGGAGATATCACTGTCAAATCAATCGACAGTAAGGAGAATACTTACTTCCGGGTGTACAATTCTCCGTTATCCAATGGGAATGGACGCTCACATTGCCTTTAACGGCCGCCGACACAAACGAATGCCGTGCTTCCATGAGCGTCAAATCCCGCCGCAGATGGGAATACATTGCAATCAGTTGAAAGCTATTTGCGTCTGTTTATGAAGCTGAAGGAGCCTCGGAGCGTCCCAACTGCACGCCTTGGGACCCTGACCAAGCGTCGCTCCTGGACGTTTATGGAGTGAGAGTGTGTTGTATCATACACTATTTAGTACATTCAGAACAATCTGTTGCTTTGTGAAAACCCTCTCTACTTTCTACTTTTCTACTTTCTTTGCTATTCTTTCTTACAGTCTTTGGAGACCATATCTATAATGTTTTCTTTGTCCTCCCTCCTGTCCTTCAGAGTGTAACTGCCACCCTCTGGGCTCGGAGATGGCTCAGTGCGACAGGTTGACGGGGAAGTGTGAGTGCAGGGAGGGAGCGGCAGGGAAGCACTGCGATGAATGCGCCCGTGGCTTCACCGGCGTCTTCCCCGAGTGCGTCCGCTGTCACGCCTGCTTCCAGCTGTGGGACGACGCCATTTGCCAGATCAAAAGAGACCTGGAGCACATCCAGTACACTGCGCAGAAGATCCTGGAAAGCGGAGTCACTCCAGGAGTCGGGGACACGCGAATCAAAGAGCTGGAGAAGAAGCTGAAGCAAGTAAAAGATCTGATCAGTTCTGAGGACAGCGACAAGATCCACCAGCTGATTGGACAGAGCATCGATGACCTCAGGTGATGATGTCACACAGTGCTGGGATGTTTATTTGGCATGATTTGTCACCTGCCAGTAACTGTCTGGATGTTATATTAAAATATCCTGCTGTGTGTGTTCCAGGGCTGAGATCGCCCTGACCGACGGGCGCCTGATGGGCGTCACCAGAGAGCTGAATATAACAACAGAAGATGAAGGGGCGCTGAGACAGACCCTGACTGGCCTGGAGAGAGAGCTGAGGGACATCAACACCACCGTGGCTCACAAACACAACCTGCTGCAGGACTACCTCACCTCAGGATTTGCAGGTAGCAAACTCAATCAAGTCAGTGAGGCTATGCTGACATTGTGTGACATTACAGTCAATGTTATATGACACTTGCCATTATGGGTGAAAATATAAAAATGTTCGAGCTGGGAGAGGAGTTGGAAAAACTTCTTTGTAGATTAAATTCAGAAAAGTATGAAGAAAATAGAACTCAAAGAATAATTTGATGAAGTCTCCCACTTCAGGCATAATATCAAGCAAGTGACGTTGATCAAACCTTCCAACGTGGTTCTTCACAAAACATTTTTAATGTTGTAACTTAATTTTACAGAATTAGTTTGAGGTGGATGACTTTGTCTTCACGCAGAATATTTGAAGTTTATTTTTTAAATTTGTGACTTAAATCTTTGAGAATTTTTTATTTTTGTTCTTGTTATTTAATGAATGTATAATTTGAGAGAATATCAAGTATTTTTCTTTTACGTACAATGGCCCTAATATGCTGCCACAAACAAGAGCATAAGCAAACATATAAAAACATGTGTGATACACAGAAATCATGACTACAAACAGATATGTTCAGATTTTCTGTGGTGAGCAATTGCAAAATGTAGATAGATAGATAGATAGATAGATGGAAATAAACTTTATTTGTCCCAAGTTGGGAAATCGTTTTGTCACATCGTAATTCATGTACAATCACTGTCAACAAAGCTGAAATTAAAATAATAAAATAATGTGAGAGAAATTCTGATGAAAACATAAACCCTTTGCCTGTCTTCACAGATCAGTTTAATAAAGTGAAGCGGTTTTATAATGAGTCGGTGAAGGCACAGGAGAAATGCAACGCCTCGGTGTCCGGTCCCCTCAGTCCTGTGGAACAGTCCAAAGAGACCCGGGCTGTCACCGAGGATCTGCTGAACGCCAGCAAAGACAAGTTCCTGCGCGCTCTGGCTGCTCAGAACAAGTCTCTAAATGAGCTGCAGGACAAAGCCCACGACCTGGACAAGAGCGTCCAGCACCTCAGCAACAAGGTGGGCGGGGTCAGGGGCGTCATCACTTCATCACTTACTTCCTCCCTTCATCTTGAAGTGGATAATAGTATACTGAATAGTTTGAACTGAATTCATAGACCTATAGAATAATTTGCAATGAAAAAAAGTGATTTTTATATATTTCTTTACTTTTTTAATGTTTTATCCTTTCTGACTATTAATTCTAGGTCATTTTATTGGAAGACACACATTCTTTATTCTTTTTTAAAAATGTTTATCAACTTTCTCTTTTCTTTCACTGACTAAACCATTTCATGTAAGGATAATGCATTGCTGCTCCTTCCAGGTGTGTGGCGGTCGCAGCAATTCAAACGCTAATGGCAGTTGCTCAGACAGTCAATGTGGTGGCGCCGGTTGCCATGACGATCGGGGCGTGCGTGTATGTGGAGGAGAGGGATGCAACGGGACGGTGAGCGCTTCTGTCGCAGCTCTGAATCTCACCAGGAACACCATGGAGAGTCTGAACACCGCCAACGAGGAGCTGCAGAGCGTCGCCAGAAAGGTAGATACATATAGTGCGGGAGGGAGAGTGCATCCTCTTCAAAATATAAAGTATAACATTTCTTTGTCTTTGTTTCCTGTGTCCAGCTCCAGGATATCGCCACCCTGACAAAGGATGTAAAGAACCAGGCGATGAACACGCTGGAGAAAGCGCAGAAGAAGAAGGAGCACTTTGAAAACAACAACAAGAAGCTGAAAGATTTCATCAAGAAGATCAGAGACTTCCTCACCGGTATATCATAGTGTTCTTACTGCTGTTATTAGCTCTATGCACAATAGTTTGATACTTCATACATAATGTTGACATATATCATTTAAATCAACATTCAAACGGTTGGCTGCGGCCCTGGGTTATCAATGGGGGGGTTAGTGATTTCATCTCTAGTCCTTAATATCCTTCAGTTAGTAACTTAACCCAAATTACTCCCGTAGGCATGTGCACTGTTAAGAATTGCATTTAAGTCACTTTGGATAAAAGCTTCAGCTAAATCACATGTAAGGTCAAATACTGTGCAGCTTTTTTAAAAATACTATTATTCTTCATTGTGCGTCTAGCCGGTGTTTCTGCAATGTTGCACATAAATGTGTCTCTTTAAACTTGCTTTCCAAAAGCCAAAGTTGTATTCATTTCCAAAATTCATATCAAAGCAAATTATCGGCTTCAATCTGTATTTGTTGTCATTTTGTCTTTTAAAAACAACTTTTTAACAGCACTCAAAAAGGGTTTACTGTTCAACTTGTCGCACACAAAAGGAAGGCTTGCACCTGTATTTAACTTCTGATGATGACATCACAAAATGTAATGACAGACATTTGGAGCTTCAATGGAAAACTTGAAAGAATCTTTCATGTAGAAATATGACCTCTGTACAGTTGGAAAAGATTATCTCTGCTCAGAAGTCTACTACAGCTGGAATTCTCCTGCGGTAGGATCTTATTTCTAGTATTTATTTATTTTAGTTTTTCTCTCTTCCCCTTCTTGTTGTGTACAGAGGAGGGTGCGGACCCGGAGAGCATAGAGAAGGTGGCTCTGCAGGTGCTGTCCATCACGCTGCCCGTCAACAGGACGGCTCTGGACAGGATGGTCCAGCAGATCAAGGGCGGCCTCTCCAACCTCACCAACATCGAGGGCATCGTCAACCAAACCTCGCAGCACATCAAGGAAGCCAAGGAGCTGCTCCAGAAAGCTAAGGATGCTAAGTAAGTAAAGCTGTTGTGTTGTGTTTTATCAAAACAACATTTCCCATAATCCAGTTTGCTTGCTGTCAGAAGGAGCAGGGTGCATTCTCTGGCTGCCCACACACATATAACGTTAAATAAAAGAAAGCAACTGCTTAATAATAATGAAGCCATTTGCAATTAGAGGCTTCTATGGACCAGGGTTCAGCTGTGAGTCTACAATGGGCGGCAGTAGCTCAGTCTGTAGGGACTTGGTTTGAGAACAGAAGGGTTGCCGGTTCAGGTCCCAATTGGACCAACAACAACAACAACAAAAACAGATGGTAGACTGGTAGCTTGAGAGGTGTCCTTGAGCAAGACACTGAACCACCAACTGTTCCCTGGCGCCAGATACAACCGGCAGCCTCTTCTTCAATCTGTATTCCTATGCATGTCTGTGTTGGTACTGTGTGTATTCAACACACATAGTGAAACTCTTCATTTTGCCCTTGTGGATGAATAAAGGGTCATCTTAATTACAAGAACAAAATTACTCAGTAAATCCTAAAACTCTCTCCTATTTCCTTTTGAAGGCACTATAAGGCACAGGAGAGTGGGGTACATATTGGTAGTGAGGTGGAGGAGTGATTGGGCATCGGAAAATATGTTTTTGACCAGGGAAAGAGAGGACGTAAAGCCATTGTTCTTTGTATGCTTGATTTACGAAACCTCCGAAAAAACAAACTGGTTTCAAACATCATTCAGAATTATTACAAAAATGAAGATAAACAACAAGCAGATACTGAACAAAACAGGACCAGTTGCTTTGATGCAACAGATTACAAGAACTAAAAACGACTTCATCAGCGCTATACCTATAGGACACAACATCTCCATACAACCTTATACCATTATATAATCCATTAAGACCAAACTCCTAAACCAGATGGTCCAGAACCTTTACAAAACTTAAACCCTAAAAAATGTAAATGATAATCTTACGTAACACATTCAGGAGCTGCAGGTGTCTCCATAAGAATCAGCAAATACTTTCAACAATATGTTATTGTTAAATCATCTCTCAACATCATAGTGTGCCCACCACTGAATTAACAATTGTGTAGAGCAAATCATCTTTTTAGAAATAAATGTACGTAAAATAATATGTAATTCCACAATTACGACACACACTCATTACTGAGGAGTGTGTGACTAACTCCTGGTGTCACTGTGCAGGAGCCTGGCGGAGGGAGTGAAGGATAAAGCCAGCAACACCAAACAGGCTCTGGATGTGTCTGAGAAGGCCATAGAGAAGGCCCGAGCCGCCATGAAGGAGGCCAGCAGCAACCTGAACCGCACCAGGAACGCTACAGCTAAGGTACAGGAGCCTCACAAGCCCTGTGGAGCTCTGTATTCTCCCACATCTCTCCATCTCCCCCTTCATTCTTTTTCTCGTCATCCCTCTGCAGGTGGATGAGAGGCTGACGCGGCTGGAGGATAAGCAGATGGATGTGATGATGCGCCTCAACAACCTCTCCATGGAGGTGGAGGCTCTGAGGAACAAGACGGAGCAGAACAGGCTGGTGGCAAAGAGAGCTAAAGAGCTGGCTAACAACGCCACGCACCAAGCCTCCTCCCTGGAGAGGGTCAGTTGTTTGTGTGCTTTTCATTTCAAAGAATATGTCTTATTTATCCCAAAAAATGTATGTAACGGAGTAAGTATTGTGGGTTACTTTAGGAGTTCTTTATGAGAAATAAATTGTTATTATTTGGGGGGGAAAATAACTTATTGTGATTATTTTAGCAAAATTGCAATTCCGATATGATTTATGATATTAGAGAGATTTTTGCATCATTGAAAGATATTTAAAATGATCATGGTGGAATTTCTTTTAAGGAATCTGAACCAAACAAAGATATTTTCTTAAGTTGAAATATCTATGCAGCACCAACATCTCTTATTCAGATGAATACGTTTGAATATTTCACAAGCCCATATTGTTATTTTGGTTCAATTTGGATGAATGATGCAGCCCTGATATCTCTACTAACGCTGTGTGGTGTCTGCAGAGCCTGAACGACACAGAGAAGCGGTACCAGGAGCTGCAGATGAAGGTGGACTCTCTTGGAGATGTTGGAGGTCTGAACAACATCAACCAGAAGGCCAAGGAAATAAAGAAGGAGGCAGAAGACCTGCTAAACAAAGCCACCAAGGGGATAGAGCAACTCAGGAGTGAGTACAGGAAGCTAAACATGCCCGCACAGGAAGTACGCACAGGCCATTGTTTACAGTGATTTGTCCTCTGAGGAATTCCCTCGCATTAAGGTGGTGTAATGAAATATCTACTCTTAATGATTTGTTGAGAGTATACAGTTATATGTTGCTGGTTTTGATGAGTTTATAGATTAAATAATTTCTGGAGGTAAGTGAAATAAATCATTTTATTTGAATAAAAAGTGTAAATTCCCTCAGTCTAACCTAGGATACCAAAATAAAAATGAATAAATAAAAAGATCTTCATTTGTTTAGAACTTTCCAATAACAGAGTTACATAGTGCTTATAATACATGAGAGCAAAGCAAAGCAATAGAAGACATAGAGAATAGAGTGCCACATCGAATCATAAATCTATCTATTTATGATTAGAAAATTATAAAAGTAGGTTAGACAATTATAAAAGTAGGTTAGACATGTGGAGATTATCCGACTGAACAAAACGTGATCCGTCTCTTAAATGTGTGTCAACCACAGACCTTATTTCCAGCTATTTTCCAAAATCCTATGGAGAAATTGCATTGGTTTTTGTCGAAGGAACCGGAAGAGGCTTACTTCCGGGTTTTAGGACACGTCACTGTGGCACTCTATAGAGACAGAGTGTCTGGAGGCAAAGCAAGTATTCCGAATCAGAATTCCTTTATTCGTCCAACATAGTGAAAATGTACATTTTTACAGCATAAGTGAAGATAGAGACAACAACTAAAACACTATTAATATAAAATAATAACAGGGTAAATTACCAGTGGCAGGCAGGGAATTTCACAGAGTTGTCCTACCAGACTGAATCCACCTCTCAATGCCATCATTATGACGCCTCCATTATAACAACCATCAATCTTATACAAAAACACAGTATAACAGGGCAATGTATCTCATACAAACCATTCAAATCAATCGTTAAGACACTGGGGGCCAGCGCATGCTTAACTGAGCTGATATGATCTCTCCTTATGATTTGGATAAAGGTTTATCATTCAATGTTTATCAGTGACCTGCATGGAAGCTGTAATTAACCGTTGATGGTTTTCCACCTGTCTGTCTCTGCAGAACTGGAGAAAAAGTTCAAGAGTAACGAGCAGCGGATGCAGAGGCAGCGCACGGAGCTGGACGAGCTGAAAAACAACGCCACGATGGTGCGAGACGAGATCCGGGTCCAGGTGCAGAAGTACAGTAACTGTGTGTGAGGATGTTACACTCACCGCCCTGCTGCTGTAGCGCAGAGCAGACCTCTGACTGACGCTGTGACTTGGACACACAACCATGAAAATAAAACGCTGCTCTGGTACCTCCATTCCTTTACTACTATATCAAGTTTTACACATTACCTGTCAAGTGTTATATATCACAGAATGCCTTCACCTGTCTACGTACTGTACCACTAACCGACTAAATATCAACCCTGTGATGTATGCTATGTCTTTAAGCTATTATCACAACAGGTGGATGACCTGTGGAGAGTATGATCATTGATTCCATGAGTAATAAACAGAAGAAATATATCAGAATTTTGTTATTTTGACCAAAAGTGCTTTCTATGTTTTTGCTGTAATTTGACCTCATTTGTATGGTATTTACAATATGACATTCCTATAAAGAAATATGCGGAAAAGTAAGATTTTTTTAAATGAAATATGTTTATTTTTATTACAAAGGAAACTCTTGATTAAATGCAAACATAAATGTTCTTATGAGCAAAATTCATTATGAGGTATGATGATGGAAACAAATAAATCTGATACCGTTTATGCAAATGCCTTTTATCATGTGTCCTGTTTGTGTCAGAACGCAATCATTCCAATAACAAGTTTAACACATTTGTAATAGTAGAAATGTAATTGTATTTCATTGCCACTAGAGGGTGCTATATACTCAGCGAGGCAGTGAGTTCTCCCTGTCTCTTTCCCTAATTTCAGACTTTTTTATTATGATCTATTATGCTTTCCTGTAGTGTGGTATATAGGTTTGTGTGCATGTAAATTATCTCCAAAGGCTAAAATCCCCAAAGTTGGTATTTGAAGTTGGCCAAATATCACTGTTGGCACAGTTGGCCTGTTTCATAAATAAGTGTTTTGTCAGTGTAATTGAAATGATTAGGTTAGCTAAGTTAGCTACCTATTTTACAGCAGATCTGCAATAATATGGGAAGGAATCATGAAATCACATTGTTAAAAATAAGACAAAATAAATGACACTTTCGGTACATTTCCAGTGACAGTGACAGTTGGCCAACTCCATAATCCCTGAACGTCAACAAGCACTCCAGTCCCAGATGTGTGCACCAAATGTTGGTGTCCCCGTGTCCGTTGGGTTTTGAGCTTTTATTGGTGCAGCGCTTTTAGTAAACACTGCACATGTTTCATCAAGTTGGGCCGTTGTAGCACATTAGCACCTGTCGGCCACCATAGGTTAAGGACATACTCAACCTGTTTTCATTTAACTAGTGCACACATCCTTTATCATTAACTGTATGTAAGTTGATGGTCTCACATGATTTCCATGATTCCTCAGGAGCTCTTTAACTTGAAAACATATCTGTGTGTGGGGATTACAAGTCATTGATCACATGTTGATTTTGAGCTCTTCAGTCAGAGCTTTTCCAGCCTTGTACCTGTAGCTTCCATGTACTGCAAGACCCAGGAATGATTCACTGTCTGCTCTCCTTCACCCCCACTGTCCTCAGTCTGGAGGAGCTCTCAGCTCTTCTCTCTGCTGAAGCTGGCACTGCATCCTGGGCTCTAACAAAGAGAGGCTGTCCTCAAGCCGCACAGGGAATGTGTAATCTGACAGAGATTTATTTGTTCTGGAGAACACAGCACCTGCACACATCACACACACTGCAGAGCCAAATAAATAACATGTGATAGTTTGCAGTGTAGTCCTAACATTAGTTCACTGGATCAGATAACGCTACATGTGTTTCCCTGCAGGCCTGTGGTGGAGATGGTCCCAAACACCTGTTGGATGAGGCTGATGTTATGAGACTGGGCAGCCGGGGAGCTGTGATCTGAGCGCGGTCACGAGTGGCTCATTGGGTGCAATCAAAGGGAATCTAATCCGTCCAGCAGGGAGCGCGCATTCCTACTCAGACACAAACTGGCAGGGCTTACCGGAAAACAAGAGCTGGGTTTATAAAGGATCAACTTTTATAATAAAAATGATAAAACTTCATAGCCTGTTAACACCGATGGAATGTAACTAAGTACATTTATATTAAGTACTTTTTACATACTTGTACTTTACATGAGATTTTTTTCCCACATTTATTATTATATTCTCTTCTTCTCTTTTCTTTCAAACGTGGAGAACCACGTTTGAAAGAAATATTGTGCATTTTTTACTCCACTACATGTGATGCTATTGCTATACTAAGTTAAATCTTGAGTTAAGGAATGTTGTATTTAACGTGGCATTTCTACTTGCAGAAGGCTTTGACTACCATTTATATACAAATAAAAAGGAAATGTGAGCATTGTCCCTAAGTAAAACAAACTCCTTTTATCCGCCCTTACACGCGACCATCTTCCCGGCGGCTCGCGCCCTCTCTCGTACTGTTCTGCTCCGCTCCAAAAGTCCACTCCGTGGTTTCCAGCGCAGAGTCGCAGGAGCTGAGGACTCCTCATCGCAACAACGGTGCTCAGCCTCGCATCCGTCCGGCAGCTCCGCAGCAAGTGGACCAACAGGGAGACTGTACTACACAACAGAGAAGCGAACTCCTTAAACAACACGGTGAGTGGCGACTTTGTCATTAACTCCCCAACTTTTTAAAGTTTAAAGACACGTTGGTCAGCTCAACTCATTCTGCTTTAACTAGTCACAGTTAGTTTTTTATATTAACCGGTTAAAACAGCACAGAGAAGGAACAAAAAACAACAACAATTCCAAATTACCTCCACTCGTAACATTTTGGGGACCTGTAGTCGGGGAAAAAGGCAAAACTTCTTTAACTCCAACTTTTTGAAAATGTTTAATGTAATAACTGTTGCATGTCGCTGTGTATAACACTGTTCATCATACATGCCACAGGTTGCCGCAGCCTCGCGGGTTGATGCGCGCTCAGAGATGAAAGCGTCACTACTAATGCTCGCCTGCGGTAAGTGCACTGTACACATCGAGAAGCCTTTAAAGTCCCTCCATGTTTTCTGCTCCATAACAAATCCTCAGAAGTGATTCAGTGAAGGCTGAACACTGTCTCCAGGTCACTGGGCTCTCTTTGATTAGTCTCTGGAAAATATGGAGCTTATGTTTTTGTGTTAAGTCTTAAAAAAGAGGGGATTTCACGTGAATCCATGTCAGTTGATCCGGACACCTGCAGCTTTGTATCTGCAAGTGAGAATGCTCTGATAGGAGGTATTATCTCAGCCAACTGCTAGAAATGTTCACTAACAAAAGATAATATCACTTGGGTTCTTATTCAAAACTACATTTACATTTTCAAGAATATAACTCTCACAAAGTGAAGAAAAGGTACATTTCAAAGCCAAAATAACAGTTTCTAAATGCATAAATGCGAGTTGACCCATCGACATTTTCTCTTTTTTAGTCACAGACTTTATATTAGTTTGTCTTATTCATTATCGACATATAGAAAAGTAAAAAATGGTGCAGAAAATGAGAAAAAGCTCTACTAGAAACAGTAGCCTGATCTCTGTGGATGTCTGTGAGGCTGATGGGAGTATCGGCCCCTGCGCTGAGATAAGATAGCTGATGTTTCTTTTTTAGGACCCCCGGTGCCCTCCGGGTCTCTGGGGTCGGCCCTGTCTCTGCCTGTCGGCCTCTCTCTGTGGGTGGTGTCGCTCTGTTTATGGTCCTCCTAAAACAGCCCAGCTGAATCCGCAAATAGAGACACCCACTCCACACCTACCTCCAGCTCTGTTGAAGACCCCTCTGTGTGTGTGGGTGACAGAAATACAGGAAGGCTGGGAAATAGAACAGATCTAAACTAAAAACCACCAGCAACACAGTATCTGATGAAAGATTCTTTGAACTCTTTTCAGTGTCATTTCATGGCTTGAAATGTTCAGAAAAGTGGTCAAAATAGAGTCCTTAAATCTGGAGGGTTAGCAATTACGGTTCCCTTATTTTAAGGTCAAAGGTTTTTAACGTTTTATTTAGATTGGTGATGTAAGATCTGTGATTAACGCAAGCTTACTAACATTTTGTTGTAAAACATAAAATACATCAGTAAATATGACACTGGTGAATGTTTGAAGATTCTTTGGGTTTCAAAATCAGCGGACAAATAACTAAATGAAATAGTAAAAGTCATCACCCTGAACATTAGCCGCCTTTAGCTTAGCGGTGTTGACACACAGCCACTCTGATTCTGAGCTCAACTGATTTAGTTAGTTTATAGTTTAATGTTAGCTTTTGACTTCTTGGGATTGCATTGACGCCTCAATCATAAAATGTGGAGATCAATTATCCTGCTGAACAAGACATACAAGTATCATAAACATGTATTTGCCAAAGTTCTTATTTTGTGCAATAGTCCGAAATCAAATGCAAATTGTCCTTGCCCTACTGTATGCTTACATCTGTTGTGGCCTACAAAAAAAACGTCATCACTGCACTACTGTATTGCAGCCTGACGCCTGCACTACTCCATGCAAAGTGGATGTGTGCTCGAAACTATCAGTTATCTAAAGATTTTGTTGACTAATGACCTTCAATAAAATGCCTCCTTATGCATTGTTCCCTCCAGCTGAAGACAATGGGCTCATTGCTCCTGTTAAGGTCTATTAGTGCCTGTTGTTAGCACCCACCAGGCCTCAGACATGATCACTGACCACTCCTGCTTTACGGTGGTGGGGTTAGCTTCCGGAACACACAGCACACTTGTCTGCTTTTTCATCTGGTTTTTGTAACTAGATCAAGAGGAAATACATTGGAAAGTAACAATAAGAACATGAGTAAAAGGATTCTACACAAGATATCTGTCGTTCTGTCAAAAAGTACAGTTTTGGGGGAATTTTAGGAAGTTTGTTGATGCAGTTTGAAGAGCAATAATGTCCACTTAGGCTTTGTGATAGGGGAGGATGGATGGGTCCAACACAACCTGCACTAACAGTCAACGTTACATTACAGGCAGGCTTACTTAACTTACTTACTTTAACCCAAAACATGACCTCTAGATTCTCGGCTATTGGCAGTGCAGTCTGCACCGTTTTGAAGCATTATAGTTGTAGATAAAACAGCTGATTACCAGATAACCTGGTAATATCAAAGCAGGTGTGTAAAGAAGTTGGAAGAAGCAGATTTCACCTACTTGTTTCAGATATTTTTCAGGGCATTTTACACATTGTTTCAAGTCAGACTTGACATTTTTTTTTGAAAAGAAGAGTTGCCACTGCTTTACTTAACCATTGAACTATTTGTTGAGTATTTTGTTTTTGGCCAATGCTTGTCTCTCTTGGTCATTGGATCTGGTTGTTGGGAAGTCATCTTGAGCATGAGTTTTGCAGTACACCATATAAGTAAAGAGACTAAGTCAAAGGGAAAAGTCTGAGATGTAAGAGAACCTGTTTTCCGCCTCTGAGTGTCGAGAAAAGGTTAAAGTGTCTGTAGAGGGAATAAGTGAAAAAGAAGTGCTGAAAGTATTAGAGGAGATTGAGAGAAGGAAACAGGAGACGAGGATGTGTTTCAGAGTGGAAGCGGTGAACAAGTGTGTCTGACATGGGGTGTCTGTCACACACTGTCATTGCAGAGACAGGGAGCTGTCAATTCAGATTCCTGACGCCTCCCAAGACCTGCTCCA